TTCTGTATCCTTGACTTTGTTTGAAAATGTTTAGTAAGTACATTCCTTACCAACCAACATACCTGGTTTTTTGACAACTTAGACATTTGAAGTGCCGACATCCATTCTCAAGCATTTACTACCTGAGACTATACAAAGGCTCTTAATGTCTCAGGACTCCTACAGCTTCCTAAACATTTTTCAGTCATTTTACACCAGATCTTACCTAGATAGATGTTCCTCCTCTTAGTCTTTACCCATTCTCAGTATAATTTGTCCTACTTTAAATATGTGACTCTTGTTAAAGTGTTCAGCATAACTATATTCACAAACAAGTTTCTTTATTTGCAAGTCCCTATCTCTCCCAGGAAAAGGCCCTATGAGACAGTTAATGTAATTATCATTAGTGCATATTGATATAACTCTTACAAAATGCCATTTCTTTGGAAGTTGTGCCTGTAAATAGGCTTACTGGGCTCTCTGGTCATGAATTTGACCTTCAGTGAATAAATGCCTTAATGTCTCCATGCAGACTCCTGAGGCCCAGTTGTTTTCAGAGCTGGCACTGACCTGAGGCTATTACATCAGATAATGTGATTTCTATTTTGTGTGCTCGAAAGACTTGGGATCTACTTTACTAGAATGCTTCCATAAATTCTTATGAGCTCAATTTGTCTTTTCAACTTCTCTGATAAAAAGTTGTCCTTCATTCACAGGTATGATATTTGTCTCCATTGGATGTGGTGTATTTTTAAGCCAAGATTTCCTTGCATCCCTCATGAAGTTCACACACTCCCAGCCTAGGAAGTTTTCTTGGAGAAAATAATTCGGATTCCCATTCATTACCAAGTTTATCCTTATTATCTGACTTTTACTAGTGGGGCAATAATGGTGTGAGGATGTTTGATACTTCAAGGTTAAGCAACAAGTATTAGAAGCAGCCAGGAATGGAGCTCTTAGTCACTCCCACCGTCTTCTGTCTCTTACTTCAACATCCCCATCTGTGGTTTGGCAGTAAATAATAACCTTCTGTAAGTATCGTAGGAGGCGTTCTCTCTAGGAACTGGATTTTCATCCAAAGTTTGCCACTAAGTGTCCTGGAAATACTGAAATCCTCTGGGGGGTTAGTTCCCTCAGCTATAGAATAAGTGGGTAGATGGGAGGACATACAAGAACCCTTTCTACTTTAAATAGTGTTTCATTTTGTTTGAAGTTAAATATGATTTCAGACATTCAAACATTTTATTCATTTGGTAGCTATGATCCTTTCCCTATAGATTCTCAAACTGCTGTAGCTGGCTTCTCACTCCATCCTGCCTCCTGGTCTACCAACAGCATTCTACTTGGACACACCATCCTCCAGACACAATTCCATCTCATGGTGGTGGGGATCTGGTGGCACTTACTCATGGTTCTCCTGGGATGGAGTGACAAGATTTTTTTTTTCTCAGAATTCTATTCACATTGCTAATTCAGTTACATGCTATCGTTTCCCACTGTGGTAGAGGTGATAATGGGAGTTGCGGTTTGATACTATAGAGCATTGAGTCTGGCTGAAGCTAGCCACGAGCCTGTTTGCCAATGATATAGGTATGGGTGTGTATAGTTACGTACAGAGCTGTGAACTGTCACATTGCCTACATTCATTCAGTCAGAGCAGGTTTCATGGCCAGATCCAATATGTGTGTAGTTATGAAACACTGACTCTCATCGCAGTCACGGAGACAGGAGGAAGATTCTGAACTCACACCGCCATGCAAGGAGGGAGCAAAGAAATCAAGTAGCAATCTGTGTGCCACTGGCAGAGAGACTGATTGCATCTGGGGAAGGTGGATTTTGAGTACTGCCTCCATTGTAAATGGCATATTACCTTTTCTCTCTGTCTGCTCCCACTGCTTTGATTACTGACAGCAGCCCCCAGGCTGATGTTGTAGGTTAGCATCAGCAAAGTGCATCTCATCATTTGAATGGTTGGGGAAAGCACAGACTTTCAAAGGTAAGCCACCTTGTCCTTTGTGTCTCTGTGCTGTATGTCCTATTAACCATGATCACCTGTCAAATTAACCTTTGTGTGTATTTGTGGTCGATCAATCAAGGGGTTGATGTGCCTTTGAGAAACAAAACAACTAATAAAATTAGATGAAATTAGACTCATCATGTGCACTAAAGAAAAAAGACATTTGATTAAGTTGATGATTGTTGGTGTTTCAGAAATGTAACTCGAACACCTTGAGAATACCTGTGTATTAGAAATGGGGTGACAGCTTACTTGCTGACACATTTACTTGCTTCAAGTTCATTTTTTGCTTTTTTTGTTTACTCAGCTGAAAAGAATAATATGGAGATGCCCTATTTTAATAAATTCAGTCATTTGTATTTATATTATTAAAACTCCTTATTCAAAAATTACCTTATAAATTTGTCTATTCATTTTTCTTGGAAAGTTGAATTTGTCCTCTGCCCTTAGTTTATCAAACTTCTGAGACAATCGTCGGATGTAACCTGTATTTGCCTGTGTTCCTTTCCTGTCCTAATGATCCTTGTCGGAGTTACCACGTGTCACAGTCTCTCTTGCGTGTTTTCTTTGTAGGCTATTGTCTGGTTAGATGCTAGGCATCAATAATTGGCCCTTTAAAATGCAAATCAACTCCAGAATTGAATTAACTTTTATTGTTTCTACTTAAGCTTTCTATTGTTTTTCCTCTGTACGAAGAGTGACTTGGATTATATGCCTCACCTCATTAATGTGGTGTGGGCTAGACACTGCAGGTATATGAGTGTGTTTGCATGTGTGTGCACATGTACATATGCACATGTGTGTTTTTTCTGGGAACACCAAGCCTTTGCTATTTTGTGAATCTAACACTCTTTTAGTCCTCAGTCCACTCTTCATACTGTAGTAATAAATCTAATCTCACCAGACAATATGCCACTGATAAAATGAATGTCTTACTTGGGGTACTGTACAATGTATTTTGTGAAATATATCATGTGTTATATAGTTACATTAATCCATGTAACATTCATCCAAAGCCAGCATTTACTCCATAGCCAACAGGAAAGGAGTGCTGGGATCTAAGTGAGGTGTCTGGTTAGTAATTATCGACTTAGGAAGTCAGATGGTGTGAAGTGAGCACTCCATAGTTTTACAAGGGTGTGTCTCCGCCTTTCTTAACAACAGGGACAAAAAGGTTCTAGGAGAGGGATGAGCCATCCATGAGCTTCGGGTCTTCACAGTGATGATCTCCTTCCATGGTTGTCTGTAGAGGTGCTTTGAGGTTCTTTTAGGCATTAACTTCCTGCCCCATCCCTCGCCCCTTGCTCCTTGAGAACTCCCTAAGTCAAAGTTCAGGTGAACAGCTGGCTGCATGTTGTATAGACAGTAGGTATGAGGGTGGCTCAAGTAAACAGATACTTAAGGCACTGTGTTCTTGTGAAGAAGGTACCCGAGTTCACTTTCCAGGCACCCTACATTTGCAGAGATGACAGTGGACTTCTGAGGTCCTGGATTCTCATTTTTCTCAGAGGCTGAGTGTGGTTTTTGAACAGCTCTCGAAACATTTACAGTTGCAGCTTTAGAATCATTGCGACCTCTGCCACCTTGACTTGGAAGTGTGATTAAAACTCAATGAGCCGAAGTGAACAAGCAAACAGAAATCCACACCTTACATGTCCTTAACTTCTCTGGGTCTTCAAATGCTGCTCTCATAAGAGAGAAGCATGCTGCCTCACAGCCCTTTGTGTGCTGAGCTAGTCCCAGCTCAGATTACTAATGAGTCTGGTTTTCAGCATGGCAAGGCCGTCAGCTGGCTTTGGATCACTTCCAGAGCGCCTCTCTTACAGGGATTATGTATAATAAACACCCTATCGCATATCCAGCAATCCCTCTTTCAAAAGACATCGAGCCTAAATCTTGAATGTCTACCTGGTTGCTTCAGGTTTTGCTGAGGTTGCTTACCAGGAATTCTAAGAGGACCAGGAATGTGAGTGCCTCGAGAGGCTTGTCTGTCATTGATCTAATCTAGTATTTTCCAAACTGCATTCCAGTGGAACGCTAATAGTTTACAACATATTTGGCTCAGCAGATGTCCCTTTAAATGGATCCCATGATCAAATAAGTTTGAGGAAATCCCATTTGATAGGTTTAGGGGACTTGCTTATTTTTTTCACCAAGAGGCATTTCACATTCTTCAGTAGCCTGACATTAACTGAGAAGCCTTTCTGACCATGACAGCCTTTTATCACAGAACACGAGTTGCCATCTCAGGAATGTCAGGCAGAGCCTATATACATAGTTTCTAAGAACAGAGCCTCTAGTGTTCAGTTGCCTGGTTTCCAACCATTGCTTTCTCTTTTATTCCTCTTAGGAACTTGACACTGTTGCTTACCAGCTCTGTGTGTCAGTCCCCCCGCCCCCGCCACGGAAAATAGAAGCACCAGTGTTTACTAACTCTAGGTTATGTTAAAATCTGAAGATATCCCATTGTCACCCTTACACAGTTTAGGTAAGAGTAGGTTAGATGATGATTCTGGAGATGACAAAAGTCATTCCCAAATGGGTTACTCATGCAGCATTAACTGAGAATGGTTAATTCTCTCCCCATCATCAAACAGACATGGACCTGTATGCTCAGTGTATGACGGGTCTGTCCCCAGAAATAAGGCACAGCTTCAGTTCCAGAAGAGCAAATACATTAGTGCCTTGGCTTGGGAGACACCATGGAGTGGTGGTAGAGCTGAAAATCCATACCCTATTTCCCCACCCCTCTGATTCTGTTGAGTTAGCAGAAAGCGCTCAGACTGGGCTGGCACGCAGGACTTTGAAGCATAGGAAAGAGCAAGGGTACCAACTTTGGTGGTGAGGGGCATATGCTTGAAGACTCCAAAAAAAGTACATGGGAGAAGCCCTTTCAAGGACAGCAAACTCCAAAATTATACACTAGAGAGTGAAGCTAGGACATGGAGAGGACCTTGTAGCATCCCTAAACTTACTGGCGACATTGTATTTCATCTTCACTTAGGTATTGCCTCTGACGGCTTTCCCTGTGACAACTTCAATGAGCAGACAGCAAAAGACCTTCCCAATAAGGATGGAGGGGCTTGGGTCCTGGGTTACAGAGCTGGACCACCCTGTCCAATTCTGCTCCATGAAGAGAAAGAAAAGACAAGTAGAAGTGAATTGTACTTGGATCTCAACGTAAGTGGAAATCTTTGTGCTTATCCTGTAGCTCTTTGTGGTCTGCAGAGGCTCATTTAATATGGACTTAATGTAAATCGTATATGTAAAGTTGCTGAGGCTGTATTTTGTATGTCGATCATTGTCTGAAAAAAAACAATCAATGGACTGCAGCAAACCAAGGCAAAATCTGTGTGCTAGAAGGTGACTGTGTCTTTAGTTTCTTTGCAGAGTACTCTGTCTCATTAGTTGTGATGCCTAAACCTCCCTGTGGGAAGAAACCCATTTGCTGCTAGTCACTTAATATCATTGTACTAAAAATTTATGAATAACATATGCTAGCTGACAGATATGCTCCGCACTTTCCAGTGAAACCCAAGTCACCTGTCTTCACTGCACATCTATAAACGGCTCGTTCTCTCCAGCTGCTCAAATAACAGTCCAACAAGTTGGTGGGAAATCTGCCAAATGCAGGATGACCCATTTAAAAACCATAGGCTCCGCCTTTCTCATTCATTCACACATCTACTGGCAAAGAAGCATTGACTCTCCAGGACAAAGCATTGAGCATGGCTAGCCATTTCCAGATTTAGATGGCCTGATAGTGTTGACCAAACCATGCCACTTGCCACTGCCCTCTTTTTCCCACAGCTCCCTGTGGCCTTTTCTGTTTTGCTTTAATTTTGACGCCCATCCACAATCTATTGTTCTCTGCTTTATTGTAGTCTGGTCTGAAACTATGCATGCTGTGTGTGAGTTAGGCCTATGGCCATCTAGGTAACCCTGTGGGTTTTCATGGGGTGTGTTAGATCCAACAGTTCTAGATGGGTAGTGGCCATGGGTAGAACTTGTTTTTTGTCTTTTTTTTGTTTTTTTTTTTGTTTTTTTTTTTCATAGCCACACAATAATAGTCACTGTAGGCATTTCAGAAAGACACTTAACATTGGTTTTCATAAAAAGAGGTTTGAAGGGTTGGAGAGCTATCTCAGTGGCTGAGAGTGCTCGCTGACTTCAGTTCCTAGCACCCACATGGCAGCTCACAACAACTCCAGCTCCAGAGAACCTAGTGTTCTTTTGGCCTCCACACGTATGTATAGGCAAGCAAGACACACACACACCTACAACCAGCCATGCGTGCATGCTCGCACACTGTGTCACACACACACTCTCTCTCACACCCACACCCACACACCTCACACATACAAAATTAGAGAGGGAGAAGGAGAGGAGGGAAAGGGAGAGGGAAAGGAAGGAGAGGGAGAGGAGGGAGAGGGAGAGGAGGGAGAGGGAGAGGTAGAGAGAATGTTGATTGGGCTCCTCCTTCCTTGCAAAGTCAAAGCTGGGATGTACTCACTTAAGTACGACAGTGACATCTACTGGTGAATTACTTTAAGCTGCCCAGGACACAGCAGGCGGCAAACCATAGGCAGCCTGGAGGATAACAGTGCCAAATGGGCTTTGAAAGGCCACTTCTTTTTCCTTTTATGATTATAATCTTGGTTTTTTGGTTTCTTAGCTTTTTGTTTTGTTTGTTTGTTTGTTTGTTTGTTTGTTTTGGAGTACAATAAACCATGCAATCCTGGTTTTCTTTCTTTTATGTGAATGAAATTATGTCTTTGCTTAATGTATTACATTACAGAAATCATACATAGTCCTTGAAAACTATTTGAAACATAGAAGGTGCTTATGGGGGGCTCAGAAACAACTGTCTCAGCCCAATGACACCTCTGTGAAGCGTTAATAAGTTTCTTTTTTTTTTTTTTTGACTGTTCATGCTTGTTTGCAGTGAGGCTACTTTTTTAAAGCAAGCACGCTGCATTTTACAACTTCCTTTCTTCCTGGCTTACCCATGCTGTTTCAAAGTCTTAACAGCCAAGCTTTCTGTGATTGTGTGGTATCAAGGGTATGCTCGAGTTTCATCTTTTTCCGCATTATTGAGTGTTGAACTTTTTCAGTTTTGGAATAGTATCTATTTGTGCCCCTCAACATTTAGGATCTTTTCCTTATTATAAATTCCTATTCCCTACAAGTGTTCTGGGCCTTTTGATAGCATTACTATATAGAAAGGAAATTCTTTTCCTGGAAATAGGAATGAAAATATATTTATGTAAATATATATTTATATAGTACCTATATGGATATATAATAAAAAATAAAATGTATTTGCATGCCTCTTGGTTTTTAATTGATTAAAATTCTTAAAAAATGAGAGTAGTTTCTTTAGGTAGCCAAGTCATTGGTTCCTACTCGCTGGACTCTGGATTTCCTCTCTTCCTTTTATTTTTTTCCCCTTCCTCAGGCAGTGTGGCTTGAATCTTACAGATTTGATATTGTTATTCCAATTGAGACTTCCACTCAAAATATTCTCCAATTTGGAAAATTTTGTGTTCCCCTTTTAGAAGCAAACACGCCAGAGGTCTTTCTCTAATAGGGGAAGTGGCTCTGAGATGTGGATACTGTGCTCAGCAGCTTTCCATTAAGGCTGCTGACAGAAATCAACCTTATTGTCTGCTAAGGTTTCTGAGATGCCAGTTGGGGATCAGCTTGCTCCATTACTTTAGGTGTGTGATAAGGTAGACTGTTATGTCAGGGACTACATGTTCAAGTCAGGCTCTTCAACTCCCACATTAGTCAGTAGGCAGAGAGGGAAGTAGGGATAGAGGCATGCAGGCACAGTCTTAGCCAGGGTTACTATTGGTGTGAGAAAACAGCATGACCCAATGGCAACTTGAGGAGGAAAGGGTTTGTTTGATTCACAGTTCCATAGAACAGCTCATCATCAAAAGCAGTGAGGGTAGGAAACTCACGCAGGGGAGGAACCTGGAGGCAGGAGCTGATGCAGAGGCCATGGAGCGATGTTGCTTACTTGCTTGCTCCTTATGGCTTGCTCAGCCTACTTTTTTATAGAACCCAGGACCACCAGCTCAGGGATAACTTCACACATATTGGGCTAGATCTTCTTCATCAATCACTAATTAAGAAAATGCCCTACAGCTTGCCTATAGCCTGATCTTACGGAGATATTTTCTCAGTTGTGGCTCCCCCCCACCCCCCATGATGATTTTGGCTTTCAGCAAGTTGGCATTACACTAGCCAGTACAGGAAGGAACAAAATGTCCTGAGACATACCCTAGTGACCCACTTCCTCCATCTAGGCCCCAACTCTTTTCTGTTTTCACCACTGTCCAATAGCCCATCACACTATGAACCTTTGAATAGATGAATCCATTGATGAGGTTAGAACACTCTAGATCTGGTCACCTCCTATCCCCTCAGAGCACTGCTTCATAAGGGACCAATGGACTCATGAGCTTTGGCCAGGGCATTTCAGATCCAAGTCATCACAATACCTAGGGACAAAGAGGAATATATTACCAGGCAGTAGTTTGATCAGCATTATACACTGGACCAGCACTGCTCTGGTTTCAAATGTGAACGTGATTTCTAGTGTTAACTTTAGATTATGAGTTTCCTGAGCCTTTTCCTATGGCTGTGCTGACTCTCAATTATATGCAAGGATGGCAGCTGGAACATTTAGTAACTGTTGGGAGTTTAGCATCCGTTAATTGTAGTAAAGCCTCGCATTAGTCTGGATTACTAGAGTCCTTCTGTCCATCTGGACCTTCATTGTTTAGTTACTAAAAGATTTAGGATGCAAAGTGTCTTAGTTTCCTTGGTAAAATACCATGACCAAAAGCAGCTTGGGAAGAAACGGGTTTATATTTTGGCTTTCACATCCCAATCATGGTCTATCACAAACAGAAGAGGGGACAGAAACTCAAGCCAGGAACATGCAGGCAGAAACTTAAGTAGAGACCATGGAAGGATGCTTCTTGTTTGCTTGTTCTACCTTTCAGTGGTAACGAAAGCCACAGTGGGCGGGGTCCTCCCACATCAATCATCAATCAAGAACATACACCATAGACTTGCTACAGCACATCTGATGGAGGGTTTTTTTCCTGTTTTAATTAAGGTTTGTCTTAGTTAGGGTTACTGTTGCTGTGAAGAGATACCATAACCATGGCAACTCTTTTAAAGGAAAGCATTTAACTGGGGCCTATTTACAATTTGAGAGCTTAATTCATTACCAACATGGAGGGAAGCATGGCAGCATGCACGCAGGCATGGTACTGTAGAAGGAGCTGGAAATTCTACATGGGGGCAGCAGGAAGAGAGGGAACCACTGGGCCTGACTTGGCCTCGGGCCCACCCCCAGTGACACACTTCCTCCAACAAGGCCAAACCTTCTTGGACAAAGCCATACCTCCTAATCCCTTCATACAGTACCACTCTCTGGTGACCAAGCAATGAATCTGTGAGTTTATGGGGACCATTCTTATTCAAACCACCACCTTCTCAAATGACTCCAGCTGTGTCAAGGGAACAAAACAGTAGCCAGCACAGCATGGAAACACAGAGCAGCATTGAATTACCAAACTAAAGGGATTAAAACAAAAGTTGTTTTTTTTTAGTGATCTTTTCTGCCTCCCTTCAGTTTTTCAATAGAAAAGAAACTGCTACACTATAGCTTTAGAAAACACACTACAAAATGGAAAGCACTTATAATTAAGTGAATCCAGTACAAAACCTGGCCTTGCCGTTCCTTGGGTATCTAATCTCAGACTTGACCTAATTTCTTTGAAATGTCCTATAACATCTATAGCAGGCCCCCATGAGTGTCTGCTTAGTGGATGGGTCTATTTAGATGAATCACACTGAAATCATATTAAGCATTTCGTTTCTTAGTCACTGGCCATGTATTAGGTGCATAGAGACCTCCCGAGTGGAACCAACTATTGACTGTTTCAGAGGACAAGAGATAGACTATTTCCTTTATTGTACAACTTTCACCAAACAGAGCTCATCTAAAAAAAAATGAGGCTAATACCTTTCTCATAGCTTTCTGGGACAAGTTTAAGCATAAGAAAAATTACATAAAGAACCCATCATGCATACTGCTTACGTAGGACCTCAGTGGCATCCAGAAACACTGGCTGTCTCCACCTTCTGCCTTGGCTCAT